GCCGCTTCATGTCGAATATCCGTTCACTGATTACGCATGTAGACAACGGCGCAAACATCGACCGTTGGAGGAGAATATGAGCTATCTGGGGACGATATGCGACCGTCTGATAAACGTCCTGGGACTGGAAACTACAGCGATGTTTAGGCAGCGTGTTCAAATTGCTCAAGTGGTCTGTCTGATGCTTGTGTCACAGTCATGCTGTCGAATAAGCCCCGACTCTCCCTGAGAGTACAATTGAGGCCACTATGTTCCCCCAGCCAAATTGAAATACAATGCGTATCCTTACGCCTGAAGAGGAAGAGCGGCTCAGTATTTGACGCGCAAATATTACGCCGTAAATCGGAGGTAAACAACGCCCTCCATAGCCATGATCTTGGGATCTACTTACGTGACCTCGTCACAGCCAGCGCACCTGCGAAAGACAGATGAAGGTCTGGTTCGAAGCTCCTTGTACTTTACAACATCAATTTTGTAAACCATAAACCGAACATCGCAAAAGTGTCCAGAAATAAAGGAAAATGAGATGAAACGATACCGAGTCTCTCTATCATGATCAATCTCCCCCTGCTCATGCACATGATTGACATCTTGCCGAGGTGCATGCAAGGCTCATGTTTCTCTCCAATAGTAACACTCGACAGAAGATGTGCCGCCGGCACATGTCCACCATGCTCCAGTGATTCCCCTCTCGCATACGCTACAGCAGCCCGTTTCAAATCAAACAAAGAGGCCTTGAGGCTCACATGAGGTCCGAGAGTACCTGCTTCGCAAGCCCCGCCCATGAATTACATACAACGTATAAGTGTATACCGGGCACAAGACTTTTCTTGTTTTCGTCCATGGAAACCCGTCGACCCTGGTCAACATACACACAAGAGAAGAAAAAGAAACAAGAAATCGGAGTTGCATTGTGTGTACCTTACGCGAACAAGCTTGAACAATGACCGGGGCGACGAAACGCCTCGAGGCATGCCTCGCGTTTTGCGGACGTCTTCCTGTCGCCTCACGCCGGAATCTTATCCATAAAAGCCGTCCATCCTGCCTTCCTAATCTCCATTCCTCCTGCATCTTCTTGCATTCATCACATAGCCTCGAGCTGGTTATCTATATCTCCCTCCCCACCCCTCACCACTAGCGCATAATGTCCTCCTCATCCTACGAAGACGAAATTGCCGTGAGCTCGTCATCTATTACCTATCAGCGCAGCACCTCATAATCCTACTCAGCCAGGAGACATCGTCGCCGTCCGCCACGGTGTGAAGGGCAGACAAGAAGGCCTGGTCATCGGCTCCCACATCGACTACCAAGTATGTCCCCTTCCACCCCCTTCCCCCTTTCCCCTCCTCGATCCCAACATGCGTTTCCATCTCCTAGGGCCGCCAAGTCATCGAAGTCCAACTCGAGCACGAGGTGTACAGGGTGTGGCAGCCCCAAGTCACACGCGTGAGGCGAACGATCTCCTACTCCCGCCCCAGCCTCCAAGCGCCCAATAAAGTCCGCACCATCGAGCGTCGTATCCTCTGGTGAACGGACTCCCGCCATCCATGCGTCCCTCTCTCGACGCGACTTGCAATCCTCTATATATGAACGTTACGATTTCGGCCTGCGGCTCACCATTCACCATTCATCATCATCATCATCACTGGCATATACAATATCATACATAACGAATAACGAACGACGCTAATCTCGTACATATCTCCTTGTGAGGACGCAATGACGATCCCGTCTTAGCCATTGTCGCTGTCGACAATCACGGACCTGCGGTCCGTCTTGGTGGGGGAGGCAAGGTAGAGAAGAATACAGAAATGGGGGGGTGGTCTGTTGGGACGAACTGGGGATCTTATTTTCTTGATCAGTACTGGGTACATAGAGGTTTCTGCTAATTCACTTTACGACCCTCAGCCTTTCTGTGCTCGATGTGGAAGAATCATTCATGTCTCTCACACAAGCAAGTCATAAACTTCGACTAGAGTTCAGGATGCAAATGGACACCAATCAGAGAGCCAATGCAATACATTCCGATGCGTAATTCGTTTTCCTTGCAAAGCGAGGTGAGGAGGCTCGTGGACCGGTAATGATAGGAGAGAAAAGAAATAAAGGATGATGGAGTGTATAATTATCTTCTTAAATGAGACCCTGCGACGTGAGGGGTGGTGTGTTAGAGATACATAAACAGAAAGTTGAGAGTGAAATCGAAATGATGCTGGTGTGTTGTGTGTTTAATCTACGCTTTGAGTCCGACCACTGGAGAGGGCAAGGGATGGCGTGGTGTTGGTGTATGCGTCCTATTGGGCGATGGTATTGGCTGTTTTGACGGGTGCTTTGTTGTTGGAGCGGTGGTCGGCAGTGAGGACGCCGGGGATGTCGAAGTATTCGAAGCTGGCGTCGTGACAGGGAGCGCAGGCGGAGATGAAGAGGGCTTCTTCAACGAGAGCAGCGAGGGTGCAGACGCCGTCATGAACGAAAGGTCGCCATTTGTCGACTGGTTTGAAGGTGCATGCACAAAGCCGTTTGGTAGCGAAGATGACACAGGCGCTGCTTTCTCCGGTCCAAGACGATCCAGCGACATCGTCATCGCGCTCAGCTCCCTGTCCGACGGCGGTATACTCAAGCTCCGTCTCCTCCCAGCTGCCACGCTCCTCACAATCCTAGGCCCAGGCACAGACCCCACATACACACCCGCATTCGCCGCACTCCCATTCGCATTCGCATTCACAGCCACTCCATTCAACCCCTGCTTCTCCCCCGCCCGATTCAACACCCCAAATCCAACCTCACTAATCAACGACCCCACGCTCCCATTCAGATCCACCGCTTTCATCTCAGGCTTCAGCGTCTCCTCCGATACACTCCCATCCCGCGCCGCGTAGATCCCAGCATGCGCCACCACCGCCCGCTCGTAGTACAGCATGAACGCCCCCGCGCCTTCCTGCAACACCGTCTCGATCCCACACTCCCGCACCGCGTCGTCGCTGATCCTCAACCACCCCCGCCCCGGCCTTCCCCGCCCCTCCTCCTCGTCCTCCCACACGTACTTTGGCGGCTCCGAGTCTGCGTCGTCGTCGGCTGGCCGTAGGGGGTCTACGAGGCGCGGGGGTGCCCAGCGTTTTTGAGGGGGAAGGTCGGGGTTGCGTGGTTTGCGGCGATAGCAGATGTAGTGGCCGAAGGAGTGTTGGCCGAAGTGGCAGACGACGGCGGAGAGGCGGTAGATGGTGCGGGGGTGGGCGTAGGTGGCGGGTGTAGGTGTGGTGGAGCGCGGGACGTTGGGTGGAGGGGTTGAGATGGCGGAGGTGGGGTCTACGGAGAGGCTTCCGGAGGTGGTGTAGGGTGTCAGGTCGAGGACTTCTGGGAAGATGACGTGGACGTTGTTTTTGGTGGCGTATTGGCCGTAGTGCACGGAGCGGTTGATGTGGAGAGCAAGGACTTGCGGTGGCTGAACGGAGGTTAGGATGCGGGCGCATATATCGAACGAATAGCACTTACTCGAGCTATCATGGCCTGCTTTGTGGAAGCCTTGCTGAATACCTTTTCCATCCGCACACCAGGCAACTCGTCCTCTATTCGACCTTCCTCTAGAACTGCCTTGACTTGTTTCTCCATTTTTCTGACATCCTTTAGCCGCTTCTTCTTCGACGTAGATGGTTTGGCCTCTGGGCGAGTAGCCTCCTCCAGGTTGCGAATTTCCGTGAGAAGTCGTTTGTGCGTAGCCAGCATCGAGCACTTCCTGCAGATGCAATCCCTGAGAATCTCTAGAGTTGTGTAATCTTCTAGGCAGGCTTCCAAATGGCAGCTTGACTTCAGGTGTGGTCAGAGTTGAGCTCGCATACAACTGAACTTAAGTGGACTCACAGCCAGCCTTGGAACAGCTAGTTGCCAGTTGTCCAGTGCGAAATGCATAACTGCTTCGGTATATCCGCACACAACGCAACTTCTCCGGTTCGCTGTCAGTCCGTCAAACACACTCTTTCCGATCTCCTTGTTCGTCCCAGACGCGTGTGATAGACCACTCAAGCCCCGGTCGCGGTACCCCTCCTTGTCGACAGCAGCAATTTCGTTCTTGATACATTCAGAGAGTAGTTGGAAGAGCTCTTGCGCGTCTTGATGTTCGCGAGAGTTGAGCAGCGAGCTTGGGCGTCCTTCCGTCAGGGTGCCGAGCACTTCGATAAGCTCAAGGGGTCGAATAGAATTGTAAGATGATCTGGGTTTGTTCAATCCTGGGATATGACGTATGACAGAGTGATTTACGGTGAGTCAGAGGATAACTTACGCTGGAAGAGATCCTGCAGAGCGTCGATAACTGGCGAAGGGACATCCAACTCTTCGGCCTTCTCATGTATAGCGTCGATATGAGGTTGGAGATAAGATAGAGAGGCTAATGCCTGATGGTATGCGTTGGAACCGGTGACGTAGAAGAGCAACGAGGCAAACCAACCTGTAGGGTCGAGTTCATGAAACAATATGTCCCCGAGATGTTGACGAGGCCGGGATAGTATCCATCATCAGAGCCTTTCTCTGAATCTACGGAGGGAGAGAATCAGACGGCTCCGATGCGGAAAAGCCCCGAAGAAGCAACGCACCATGGTTTGCGATACCGTTCATGGCTATCTGCTCCGCCCGCGTGCGGACGCTCTTTCGGGCTTTCTTCCTGTCTGGACTCCTGCTGGAGCCATTGGGATAGGAATTGCGGCCCGAGGACCAATTCCAGGGTAAATATGTGCCTAGGCTGTCGAGGCCCATGGAAATATGCCAGTAAAGCGAACGGACTTCGGCGTTTGTGGCGACCAGGAAGACGAGGGTTGGGACGAGGAGAATTACAAAAAAGGGTGCTGTCTGCTGGAATAAGCTGCTGGATACGATTTCTTTGCACCAAGCTCGCAGCTCGTCGGAAAGGTGCATATGTGGTGGGGGCGGAGGAGTAAGCGAAGCAGCTCAGAGCTGAACAAATGGAGCCGAGGCAAACCCTGTCTAGTTGGCGCAGTCTGAAACCTTTGTATGGCTACCTAGCGCAATGGTAGCGCGTTTGGCTTCGATTGCTAAGCGGCACCAAAAGGTTGCAGGTTCGAGTCCTGCGGTGGTCATGGAGCATCCCATCATTTTGGGATGGCTTTGTAATGTTTTCTTTGTCATGATCAACACCACGTGACACTGTGTCTCTCGGCGCGTCGATCGAGCCAGGTTCAAAGCACTCTTTAGAGTCACCGCGTTGGACAGCAATGACTGCTGTTCTTCTCTCCCAACACTCATCCAACCCCTTGGAGGTTGGCTCCTCCGACGTCCGAAACGCAGATTACCGCAGAAGACTCCTCGCCGCCCAACAACGCCGCGACCACCTCTCGAGTCTCTCCTCAGACGACCCCATAAATAGCTATGTAGCGGAGGACATGAAGCAATACCACAACCACCTGGTCGATGTTCTGCCCACATTCACCGCCACAAAGCAGCCACGCAACGCGTACATCGACATCGATGAAGACATGGACAGTGACGACCTTATAATCCTACCTCCAAAGACGCACCCTACTGGAACCCACCAAGTTCCACGCGAGGATAACGGAGATGACGAAGACCACGAAATTCACGAAGGCGAGGACCCTCAACTCCAAGGGCCTGGAGAGGTTGACGAAGAAATGACCATCTACCAGAAGACAACGGAGGAGCGTTTGGAGATTGAGGAGGAAATCGCTGATCTAGAAGAGAAGGTACCCCGGCTCGTCACCGATTACAAGCTCCTCGATCGTCTCGGCACTGGCACATTTTCTTCCGTTTATAAAGCAATAGATCTCGGGTACCACGATAGATGGGACAATAGCCCATGGCATGGGAACCACCCCCAAGCCTCCTCCGCACACTACCAATCCGCACCCCGGCCACCAGACTCCAAGGTGTTCGTTGCAGTGAAGCGAATATATGTCACGAGTAGCCCGGAGCGTATCAAGAATGAGATATCGATCATGGAGGACTGCCGAGGGTGTCGGCACATATCCCAGCTTATCACCGCGTTCCGAGACGATGACCAGGTCGTTGCGATCATGCCGTATCAACCCAACGACGACTTCCGGGTAAGTCACAGACCTCCGTACGTCTTGGTCTGTCACTAAGCCTGGCGTCAAGGATTACTTTCGTAGTCTTCCAATACTTGGCATCAAAGCCTACTTCCGCTGTATGTTTCGTGCACTACGCGACGTTCACACTCGAGGAATAATCCACCGCGATGTCAAGCCTGCTAATTTCCTTTTCGACCCGCTTACCGGCATCGGTACACTTTGTGACTTCGGTCTCGCGTCTGTAAGTGCATCTACTCCTTGACCCGTCGAACAACGTTTTGACACGTTCATAGCGCATGGAGACTACAAGACCTGCCTATGGGTCGTGTTTTCACACATCCGCTTCACTAGAACACCCCCACGGCCGGGTTAGCAAGAATATGCCTTCGCAAGACATCAAGAATGCACAGCAGGCGGCGAAGTTTAAAAGTAAACTACCAGCTGAGAAAGTCGGGTACCCCGAAAAAGATACCAGGTATGCCTCTACATATGCATATATTACGCATTCCGGCTTCTGATGCACATACCCGCAGGCCCGTCACCAAGGCCAACCGAGCGGGTACGAGAGGCTTTCGTGCGCCCGAAGTGTTGCTCAAGTGCGGGGACCAAACCGGTGGTATGTCTTTGCTGGAGTGTCATAGCCCGTTCATAACAGCTCAATCGGAAGCCCAGCCATCGACGTCTGGGCCGCTGGCATGATCCTATTGTTCTTCCTCACCCACAAATTTCCTCTCTTCCAGTCGAATGATGACATCGAGGCTCTCATGGAAATTGCGACCGTCGTCGGGTACAACGAAATGGAGAACGTTGCTACTCTCCATAGTAAGACCCATATCCCCATATGCACTTTCGCATCTTCTGATACAACTGTTGTACAGGTCGTACATTCTCTACAAACGTACCTACTGTCCAGAAGGGCATTTCATGGCGGGAGTTCGTGGAGAGGCAAAACCCTACACTCTACGAGCCCCAAGAAACCGATCCGCGTTACTACCCAAACAACGACGAGGCCTACCGGGACTATATGCGCCGCCAATCTGATCAGAACTCGCACCCGGTCCCACCTTCCTCCTCTTCCACAACCTCCTCCCCGCCGTCCCTCTACTTCCCTCGTTCCTCCTCGCCCGCCTCCGGCCAGCCGGACGCCGCGCGCACGCCATCACAGGCCACACACCAACGCGACGTCGAAGCAGCCCTCGACCTCGCCGAGAAGCTCATGAACCCGTACTGCGTGAAGCGGATCACACCCAGGCAAGCCCTCGCGCACCCGTTCCTACGGGGCGAGGAGGGCGACTTTGACGAGGCGGCGGACGACGATGAGTTTGTGCCGCACCGGCCGGGGGAGGGTGTGTGTGGGGGGTTGCACTTTGTGGACGATGTGACGGAGGCGCAGGGCGTTAAGGTGCCTGTGCAGTGTGGGTGTGGGCCGGGGTGTGAGGAGGTTTATGAGGAGGTGATTATGCTGGAGGCGGGGCAGGGGATGGCGATTGGGAGGCAGCCTTGTGAGTTCCATCATGGGGTGTGTTGAGGCGTGAGCGGGGCGATGTTGTATGTTAGTTGTTGTATTGGTATGAGGATGCGGCATCAATGGAGATGTTGTGGGTACCTTTCTTCAACCGAACCTGCAGTCTTTGGACTTTGAACTCTAGAAGTTGGAAACTTTTCGGTGCCACCCCCGGGTGCGAAAACAAAAACCAACGTATCGTTCGATTCGATGACCACCGCAGGACTCGAACCTGCAACCTTTTGGTGCCGCTGGCAGTCGAAGCCAAACGCGCTACCATTGCGCTAGGTAGCCATGAGGAGATGATGGAGCTCTGAAAGTTCGCCGGAGATACATACTCATGCCTGAAGAAAAATGTAGACACTGCAAGCTTCAAGTGTCCTGTGAAGCATATCAATCGTTACTGGGCTCCTCATTTCTTGACTTAGTACCTGATTCTGAACACCTGCTTGCCACTTGCGGTGGGTTTCAGGGAAAACAGACCAAAAAATACGGCTTCGACCTGGCACAAAATGTGCACATACTCGAGGCGCTCCATGACCACCGCAGGACTCGAACCTGCAACCTTTTGGTGCCGCCGGCAATCGAAGCCAAACGCGCTACCATTGCGCTAGGTAGCCTTTGTTGATGGCCGGCTACAAATAATCACCAATGATGAATGACTGATCATTGTCAACTGTGATCGCCTATAGCCTATAGGCTACACCGCCGCAGTCTCTTGATATAGCAAACTCGCTTACGCCCATCATGGCACTGAACTGGACGATGCTCAACCCTAATCGTTCTCCTGTTCCTCTACCCAATGAGATGACCATAACCACAGTGGATACAGGAGTGGAAGTCTCCTTGACGATCCCAGACACGACACCTACTGGCGCCTCCACAGCCGGCGGATCGGGCGGCAGCAGAAAGCTCAAGGCCATGGGCAAGGTCTGGCTTACTGATCAACGAGTGCGGCTCCTTACATCCTTGAGCTATTGACTCCTCATTGACGCGATCCCCCTCTGCTCCGGCTACGCCTTCTCAAATCTCTTTCCCACTTCACTACGCAGTTGATCTTTACAGGTGACGCTGGCGCTTCATTCGAATCTCTTTCGGTCCCACTACACGCCGTTCTATCGACGAAGTTCGAACAACCAACGTTCGGTGCCAACTTCCTCGCGTTCGAGGTCAAGCCGTCCGACGGAGGGGGGTTGAGCAGCGGTACGAAAGCCGAGCTCCGGTTCAAAGATCGGGCTATGTTCGAGTTCGTGAGTCTCCTGGAGAAGACGCGTGAGAGGGCGATATATATGAAGCGACAAGCAGCAGAGGACGAGGAAGGTCTGCGTGAGTGGACATCTCACTCTATCGTTATTTGCAGCAGACCCATGCATTTCGGCCTAGCTACCTACACTACGCCTGCGGAGTCCTCTTCGGCCTCCTCCGTCTCTCTCTCCATGGGCCCGCCTGTTGGCGCACCCCCTGGATATAATGCTTGAAGCGATACGTAATCTTGAGCTCCATCATTTGTACAAGGATAGTCGGACGTTGGATGGATGTACTTATAACTGTTAGAGTAGGTTGATATACCCCTGGGCGGCGTTCCTCCCATTTGCTTGATTCTCATACCCGTGATAATGATCCTCACGAACGTTGGGGATGATAGACGTATCATAGCATCAACACCTTGAAAACGGTAAATGAGTTGGGAAATTGCGAGTTGAATTGCCACTTACAACCCGCGCCGATTCTCAAGTGATCTATAATTATCAATTCGAAGCCACTACAAAGAGTATCGAAGCTGAGAACTCCGCGGACTTGGTAACCTATGTAATATGCCGGATCTGCCGGATTCCATCAAGGAAGGAGGTGACCTAAATATAGTCGTCCTAGACTGAGTGTGGTCCTAGACTGAGTGTAGCGCTATGGTTGCAACAGAACTGGTGAGGAGTCGCAGGATTGTTGCACGTTCAACGTGGGCCCGCGCCTAACAGTCGGGTCCCTTGAGTTACTTGGTACGCAGATCGTGTGCTTTCCCAGGGAAGTACTAATGATGTGTGGCGTTCTGGTCTGGACTCTGGGGACCACTGGCAACAGTCAGGTGCGTCATGTAGTTTGTGATGTTCATCTCCAAGTCAAGACGTCCAGACAGCAGAATATCAGCTCCCGCATAAGATCCCGCGGCGACCTTCTGATGATGATCTTATATGGTACTCTTGACGTTTTTCGGGGATCTACGAAATAAATACACCTCCGAGGTCGGTTACAATACATACAGGAGACGGGCGGATATGTACAATGCTTGGTAGTACAACATGTAACAGTTGCGAAGACCAATAAATAAAGAATAAAGAATCCTTCGCTCTATCGTACAGATGCCCCGTGTTCGAGATTTTGCGGACGCACTGCTGGGCTAAGAACGCAGGGGCTGAGAACGCACGGAAGTACGACCTCCGACAGGCGGTGGATGGGTAATCGTGAGCAGGTAAGTCTATCAAAATTGAGTTGACGCAGGTCCAGAACGAATCACTGGCCGGCGACGTTGGTCAAG